ACAGCTTCTCTGATGGTGATTCCTTTGAACCTATCATCTTCAAGTTTCTTGGACATGATTTGCCATTGTCGTTTGAAAAGTCTGACAGCTGATTCAGCTCTGTTAGGCCATGGGGTTCTTGAACCACAGGGACATTCCTTGATACCATGAGTTCGGTAATAAGTCAGAAAGTCTTCTTGAAAGAAAGCTTCATCACCTACAATGGCTTTAGGCATACAATTGTGTTCATCACTCCACAACCTTAGAGCCTGAATGGTCTCCTTGTTGTTCAGTGAGTTTTGTGCCGTAGCCCAAAGTAAGTTGGTTGCACCATCAAGAACAAGCAACACCATGTACTTGTTCTTCCTCAACTGAATTTCAGCATGATCAACAAAGATAACATCTCCAAAGTTGGTGGATCGTATGCCTGAAATTCTGGCTCGCGGCGGTGGTGCAATGGAAGTACTACACACACGACACTTGTTGTACATCTCCTCATACTTCTGATAGACAGAGTCAGGAAGTCCTAACATGGAAGTCCTTCGTCTGAATTGAGTAGGAGACATGTGATAGTGTTTGATATGAAGCTTGTAAAGTTCCACACTATCCTCCAGTTTCCTGAGCATCTTTCTGTATGCTGGTGTCATGGCTTGCACTTCACTACCAGGCAGTGGAATCGAAACTCGCCTAGGCTCAAGAGCATCACTACCTAGTTTCTCAACTTGACTTTCTGAATCTTGCTTACCACGGTTGCGCGCAGGTGCAGAATGTTTTGGTTCAATGACTTGAGGTTCATCTGAATCAATTTTGTCCAAACCTAACTCCCTAGCTACCTTATCAAGCTCATCTTCTTCATCAAGCTTGGGATAGGAGACAACAACCTTCTTTCTTGATGAACCTGATTGAGAGTCATCGACAACCTGAGGTTTCTGCTTACCTACGTGTCTTTTGGCTGCAGGTGGACCTACCTCAATCTTTTTCGAGCCTGGTCCATTTGAAATCGGTTTGCCTTCCTCCTTCTTTAAGGAGCTTGGCTTCTTCTTCTGTACACCTGATGGCACTGAAGAGGCTGACTCAGGGTGAAAAAGATCATCAATGTTTCCACGAAAGGGCTTTGCACGATCAATGTCACTTCTGACAATGTCATCTGGGATCACGTAGTCCTCCTTGATCTTGTAGATGGTCTTGCCCTTCCAGAACTCTTCACTCTGTTCAGAAAACCTCTTCTTCTCAGTGCGCCAGTTGTCCTTGTGAAGAACCTTCTTCTTGCTCTTCTGGAATTCCATGTGGGTTTCTCTCTCATCAAGAAGTTGATCTTTTGGAATTGGAGTTTTCTCTGATCGAGTCATCTCATGTAAGTTCATTCTCTTGTCCTTGTGGTGCCTGATGAGTTCACGACGTAGTGGATCAACCTGCCAGTAGTCACCAGTCACCAAAGCTTCTCCTTCATGATCATCTTGTTTGACAGCAATCTGGCTGTACTCAAAGTGATCGTGTTGTGAATAGAAACTTTTGACTTGTGGAGTCTTGAAATGAACTTGGCTCATGTACCATGCTACATCTTGTAGGTCGAGAATGAGATGAGTACTAATGGCTGTCCTCAAAACCATTTTTCTCATGCCAATACGTGCACAGGACAAATAAGCCTTCTCTGGAGTAAGTTCAAATTGAAATCCAAGGTTTCTCATCTGTGGAAGTGACATCAACAATGGGACATCACCTTCTTCGACAATGTCGAATTCTGTAAACTGAGTGTTCCATCCATGATCATACATGAATATCACGAGCTTCTCAGTACATTTTGATTGTTGTGAGTTTGCAAAAAAAGAATCTTGAACTTGTTGGCTGAATTTCATACCAGTCCACTGTTGGGATGTGAGTCAACATATCTGCAAAATGCTTCAACTGCTCGTCGAGAGCCCATAGCTCTTGTGCATCCAAGATCCAGAATACACACAGTTGGTGGTGCAGAATTCTCTGTGTGAAAAGCTAGTCCATTCTCACATGCCAGATCAGTTTGTACAGTATGAAATGAAAAAGCACTCTGCTGTGATGGTTCCTCTATCTCTGTAGAGCATCCATGTGAAAACAATGATGTGCCTTCTGCCAATGGCTTCCATGAAGCCTCACCTTCTTGAAGACCAACTTGCCTGGGCACTACAGCTGGACGTTGTTGTACACCTTGTCGTAGTGCACCAACTTCTCCAACCAGAACAGGGAATCTCTTCATTTCTCTCCTGTTTTGATGTGCTCTTGCATCACGTTGGTTCTGTCCTCCACGACGAGTACGTCGTTGTTCATCTTGTGCTGCATACGTGGATGTCAAAACATCAACACGTGCTGGCTCTGTCTCTGCAACATCAACACGTGCTGGTTCAGTTGTTCCAAATGAAAAGAAACCATGACCAGAACTTGAAGCTGCAGAAGAATAATGAGCTTGTTGAGTTGGTTGATTCTGTATGGCAGGAGCTGATGTGGTCTGAGGTTGAACATAGTTCGACTTGCCTTTTCCATCTCCTGGCTTTCCTCCTTTTCCATCATCATCCTTGCCTTTCTTGCCTTTCTTTCCTTTTCCTTTTCCTTTTCCTTTCTTCTGGAAGTATCCATACTCATCCATGTAGTACAGATCATCATAGGCCCAATAGCCTTCATTCCAGGTTTGATCATCGGCCACATAGCCGTCATAGTTTTCATTCCATTCATCTTCTTGCCATTCATCTTCATAACCTTCTTCACTCACCATGTGAGCACGGCCTTTTCTTCTTCCTTTTCCTCGGCCTTTTCCTTTTCTTGATTTGAAGAACCTTCGTCCTCCTCTGCCTTTTCCTTTTCCTTTTCTCTTTCCTTTACCTTTGCCTCGTCTGATGTATTTGCCTTGGAACCTTCTCTGATACCATGTGAAGTTGGCGTCATCATAAACCCAGAAAACATCTTCTAAGGCATCCAGGAATCCTTCTGCGCCGTCTTCTTCATCTTCGGCCCAATAGCCGTCGGTTCCTTCTAATTCACCTTCATCCAGTACGAGGAAAGATCTTCTCTGTGCCATGCCAGAGGGTTGCATCAATGGATTGTCAACTGCTGTTTTGGTAGTGCAAAACATTTCCAAAAACAGGTCACATAGTTCTTGAATACTGTATCGATCGAGGGTTCGTCCACGATGTGTCATGATACTTGTGAGTGTGTTTCTCTGATCTTGACTCAGGTCAGCTAGACTTACAAAAATCAATGCTAGCAAATTTTCACCCAGTGGGAATGCTTGTCGCTGTGCTTCTCTACGATTTTCCTGAAATTGTCTGAATGCCGCTAGTGCCAGTTCATCTGTCCAAGGAACAGCTACATGGGGTGTTCCTGAGGCTGCTGCTACTTCAGCTCTCTCTTGTTGATCTCGTTCATGTTCTTGACGTCGTTGTTGAACAAACAGAATTGCTTCAGGACTAGTCACTGTTACTTCTGGAAGTAAATCCATCCAAGACTCAATAAGTCTATTGCCAGTGAGTTGAAATCTAGTCATCCACTTCTGAAGATCCATGGTTCCTCTGTTGAACTTCATGAACTGCATGAAACGGTATAAGAACACGTTCTGGGCACCTTTGATGAAATGAGGTCGTAGAAATCTTTTGAAATAAGCCACTCCTTCATAGGGATCCCTGAGTAATTCTCTATCCAATAGCCTCTTGTATTGTTGAGCATCTCCTTCCAGTCTGTTGCGCAATGCTGGACCACGTTTCTCTGGTTCTAACTCCGTAATGTCACACCAGTCATCAATTGCATCCTCAAAAGCAAAGAAGCTGGTTCGCCCATCATAGGCTGGAGCAACCTTTGTGGTCATCTGTTGCGTCATATGAATCTGTGTATGCTGGGGTGCTCTTCTCATTGCATAAGAGTCATATTGGTTCCATTCATTTGCATCGACAATGTCGAAGTCATCATCATCATAGCCATGGCTTGCCATTTCTTGGGCTCTACCTGGAGCTCACCCTCAATGAGGGATCACTGCTCCGCTACCACTTGAAGAGGGGCCCTAGCGTCTACTTCAAGATCAGCTAAGGCGTCTTCCCCAATGACAGCACTCTTTTACTCTCAGCCTGTTGCCGGTCAGTGCTTGTCTACAGGGTTACTCTATATACCTCTTTCTTGAGCCTTGAAGGCGCATATAAATGTGCTCAATACTCATGCATGTACCTATGTAGGTATTAGGTCGAAACAAAAACAAGGGCGCAGCGCCTCCCCCCAAAGCAGAATGCAAGCACCTCTTCTCACATGTTACGTTGCTAGTTTTCAAGAGAAGGTTGGTCATGTGATACTCAGGGATGTAAATACTGTGCAAAATGCATCTTACATGAAAATCAAGTATTTAAAGCAGGCAAAGCAAAAAAAAAAGAAAAAAAAAGCAGAGAAGCAAAGAAACAGGAAACGCACAAAAGCAAAACAGCAGAAAGGCAAAGAAGCAGGAAAAGCAGAAAAGCAGAGAAGCAGGAAAGCAGGAAAAGCAGAGAAGCAACAGGAAAAGCAGAGAAGGAAAAACAGAAAAGCAAAAAAGCAGAAGAAGCAGAGAAGCAGGAGAAGCAGAAAAGCAAAAGAAGCAGAAAGCAGGCGCAGAAGCAGAAGCAGAAGCAGAAAAGCAGAAAAGCAAAAAGCAGAAAAGCAGGAAAAGCAGAAGCAGGAAAAGCAGGAAAAGCAGGAAAAGCAGGAAAGCAGAGAAGCAGGAAAAGCAGGAAAAGCAGAGAAGCAGGAATCCAAAAATAATTCCTAAACCTGATCAAAAAAAAAATCCTAAAATAATTAGCCCTCCTTATTATATTTATGCACGTCTTTTACCCTTCAGTTTCTCTATTGGTTGTTTGGGAGATTTGCCACACATCAGTTCCAATACTCATCACATGTAAAGTTCTGCTCAAGTTTTGAAGAACGAATCTATTCTCTTTTGGACGTCAGGAACCTTTGTTGCATGTGGTGATCCGGTGATCCCTTCACTTGACTCGGGCCTTGCCCACTTACGTCACTTGCCCACTTGTACTGCATCAAGAACAAGAAGAACCAAGACTCATTGCCACTGGCAGCAGGGGAAAGCGAGGCAGAACTGGCCGCAGCGGCGCCGTGTAGCTCGTCTGAAGCTCGAATCCCTCATTTTCATCACCTGTAATGCCTCCCAAGATATGCATTGAATTGAACTGTGATATGACCGCCCTTCCAACCCAAGGCTCTTGCATGCTCTTCCTGTCTTCTTTGTTCTCTCTCATTCTATGATCACTCTCTCTATCTCTTCCGAAAACTCTACAGGGCAGGCCTGGAGCAGTCAAGCCAGGTTTACTGTTGCTATTGGATCTGCCCACCCCAGGCTGTGCCTGAGACCTCACGAGATGTGAAGGTGAAGATAGGTGAAGACAATATGACAAATGCCATCGCTTTCGCAAGTGGCAGCAAGCGCGCTTGCATTTGTTTACTGAGTTTGCACCAAATCGAAGACAAGTGGCACAAACGATGGCTTGTGTGTGAAGAAAGGTGCAAGCAACACTTTGGTCTCTTGCACATGATTGTTGACCGATGCCTTCCTTGGATTTGCACGCGGAGAGCAGGTGCAAACCAATGCAAAAGAATGGATGCCAGCAGCAGGTGTTGCACTTCAAAATGCCTCGAAAGGCCACGCCTGTGGCATTTGGTCATAGCAAGTCTTAAAAATAGTGAGTTTTTGCTGATGATGGTGCCTCAGCTTGAACCACTGGGCCTTAGGGAGCCTTCTCTGACTTCCTTACACAAGCTGGGGCATACGACAGACTGCAAGGACCGGGACTGCGCTTCAGATCGGAGGCAAAAGCAATTCCAAAATATTCCAAGCATCAGCAAATCTTGGTACAACACTCGATCCACAGGGTCCGAGAAAGCGATCGACTCCTTGCAAAATCATTGTGTGACTATACACTGCAAAGGCCAGGGTGCTCCAACGGGACAACGATTCTTGGAACTCACAGGCTGGGCATGACTGCACCAACATTGCTTAGCAGCCAGAATGTTACAAAAATGCCAGAAGTGATTCAGAGTCTTCACAATTACTTTACTACTTCACGACTTTATACTTTACAACATTTCCAACTGTCTACACAACAATATGACATTATATGACTATTAATTATATGCTTCACATGATTTCATATGATTTTGGAAACGAAGACTTTAGCCTTTCTGCCATGTCGCGGTTTGAGCCAGCAGCCCTCGCAGCATCTGCAGGGCGGCAGCGCCAGGTGAAGCCGCTGCCGCAAGTGCAAGGTGCAGAAAGTTCAGGTCCTTGGAGACGAAAAAAATCCTGGGATGTCTCCAGGATGTCTCAAGCCTTCTCAAGACAGGGAGAGATGATGTATGATGATGTATGCTGATGTAATGCAAGCCGGGGAGCAAAGAGCCACTGAAGGAGGTGTGACATTCCTCTGCAGCAAAGATTTGTTCAGTCCGTTGACGATGCCACTGAAAGCTTTGAAGGAACACCACATGAGCTTCGATTTCCAGACCGTCGTGAAACACTCTACAGATCTCTACAGGCTCTAGCGACTCTAGCGATCAGATTTCAATCTGGGCCAGGCCTGACCGCTTCAATCGAGCTAGGTCGGATGGTTTGTCCTCATGTGCGCTTCCAATTTGCATTAAAGCAAGGAACAAAGGAATGTATAAACATGTGTGCTCGTAATTGCAAATGACATCTGTGTAATTATACGGTACGTGTTTATATATATATAATTATATATAATTATATATATATACTTGTAACTTGTAAATATCAGATTATTTTAGTATGATTATGATTTGATTTAATATCTGAATTGACTTACGCGTATGTGCATTTATGTCATTTATCTCTGTGTGTGTGTGCGTTGCATCTGGCATGATATATCGATACGCAATCATTTGTGAGACATTGCATTTGCACATTCATAAGACATTTTAGCTATCATCCAATCTTTCGATCCACCTACCGGTCCCAAAATGAGCAGGGCACCGCTCAGAAATCATCTGTTGTGATGTCAAATGTACGCCGTGTCCGTCGAATTAATTGAAGCGTGTGCATCCATGGATTCTGATCTATCTATATAAGTCTATGGATCTATGTATCCATCTATGTATCTGCTGTCTATCAACCTGTAACTCCCCTCAAACAGCCACACTGCATTTGGCATTGTTGACTTGTTGACACTGCGGCGACACTGCGCCTCCGTAGCCGATTCCAATTATATTATATATATATATATTATGTCGGTACATGATGTTGCATGTAGTTGATGGTAGTTGTGGGATATGTTTATTCATCTTGTATCTGGCTGAGTGCGCATGCCTCCAGCTGCCTGAGAAAACTGCCAGCCTCGTAGGCTGCTGCAAAGCACTCGGCAAGTGCTGCTTTCAAAGCAGCCGCTGCGGGTGTGCTGCCTCTCGATGGTCGCTGTCCAGGCACCCCAGTTTCAAATCCGCCGACCCCGGCCTTGGCCAAGGCAGGGGCGGCGCCTGGGGCCACCGCAGGTGTGGAACTTCTCCTTCTTCGCTTTCCACGGTCAAACCCATCTTGCAGCCATCAAGCTACATCAATAGCTTCTTATGGCCACTCTTGCAGGCAACAGGCACCCCAGCCAACATGCACCCCAGGGCCACACATCAATGGCTTCTTATGGGCGTCCAAGTCTGCCCTTTGCCAGCCCTAAAACCCTCCAAACGCTCCAAACCCTCCAAACCCTTAAAACCCTCCAAACCCTTAAAAACCGTAAAACCCTTAAAACGTTGACTTGGCATGCTTCATCCTGGCCACACCAACTTATGGCCACCCCGGCGCCCAGGCAACAGGCACCCCAGCCAACATGCACCCCAGGGCCACACATCAATGGCTTCTTATGGGCGTCCAAGTCTGCCCTTTGCCAGCCCTAAAACCCTCCAAACGCCGCGTCCAACCACCCTCCAAACCCTTAAAACCGTCCAAACCCTTAAAAACCGTAAAACCCTTAAAACGTTGACTTGGCATGCTTCATCCTGCAGCCAACAGCCACCCCGCGCCACACATCAATGGCTTCTTATGGCCGCTCTTGCAGCCAACCGGCACCCCAGGGCCACACATCAATGGCTTCTTATGGGCGTCCAAGTCTGCCGTTTGCCAGCCCTAAAACCCTCCAAACCCTTAAAACGCTCCAAACCCTTAAAACCCTCCAAACCCTTACAAACCGTAAAACCCTTAAAACGTTGACTTGGCATGCTTCATCCTGCAGCCAACAGCCACCCCGCGCCACACATCAATGGCTTCTTATGGCCACTCTTGCAGCTAACCGGCACCCCAGGGCCACACCTCAATGGCTTCTTATGGGCGTCCAAGTCTGCCGTTTGCCAGCCCTAAAACTCTCCAAACCCTTAAAACGCTCCAAACCCTCCAAACCCTTAAAACCCTCCAAACCCTTAAAAACCGTAAAACCCTTAAAACGTTGACTTGGCATGCTTCATCCTGCAACCAACAGCCACCCCGCGCCACACATCA